GTCAGGTCAGCATTGAAGAAGCTCCAGAGGATGGTCTTCGCCCAAATCCTCCCTAGCAGGCTCAAATGCTAAGTCAAAAGGGGCTCCCTGGCATTAGCTATTATCTTGTGCATCTGCTTAGCTGAAATAAAAACTAATATTGCAGCAACTGGGCTAAAAGCCTAGAGAGACCCTAAAAATGAATAATAGTTCTCCTTGGCTTACTGATGGTACTCAGATCCCATTATAAAAAGATAAATCTATAAGATAGAAGGGGTCATGTCTGGAAGACCCAACATTGGGTCTTCAAATGATCATGGGAAAGGGGGAAATGAGAGACCAAAAAGATTAAAAATTAGCAGCTATTGGTTAAGGCCTGAACTATGTGGGTGGAGAAGTCTAGTAATGCCCTGAGGGGAAGGACCGCCTTACTGCATTCTTTCCCCACCTACTAGAGATAGCAGTTGCTAGGAAACTGGCCCATCCCCCTAGGGAGGGACACCAGGTCATTATGTTCTGGGGACCTTCCTATAGCCAATCTATTCAAAATGTAGCATTTTGACCAATAGATGCTTGCCAGGCAGGAATTGCCCCTGCCTTGGGAATGCTGGGAGGGACCAGAATCTATATATCACCCAACTAACCTGGGCATGGTGTGTTCAGCTCCCACCGCTTTGGCGGTGGGTGTTGTGGGCCCAAGCTGCAGCTTGTAATTTACAATAAAAAGACCCTCATGTGTTTTGCAATGGAGTCGATTCCTGTAAATCTTTTGGGGGCTCACAAACTGGGTATAACATAACTAATGAAAATTAAAAGAAATAAAAATAAAGAAATAAAAAATAAACTTAATTGACTAGGATAATCTCTTGACTGGACAAAGAGCCCAATGAATTTATTCGATTGTGCTTTCACAGCAGAGCAACTTGGAAGTTAACACCTGCTTCAGCTACCAGAGCCTTGAGACAAAAAAGCAGTGAAAGTCAGGAGGGTGGGGCTGGGGGGAGAAGAGACAGGACCATTTCAGGAGGATCCTAGGGATGCCCTGTTCCTAGGAAGAACTCAACTAACTCCCTTGGGCACTCAGAGGAAAGCCCAAACTAACTATCCCCAGCCCAAGCAGCCCAGAAACCATAGGCGCCTCTGAAGATTGTGCAAGTCTTTTCCTCCCCTGCCAGCTCGGTGGCATGTTTCTAAAATCCCCATCTGCACAACATAAACAGGGAACTCGCAGCAAAAAGGCTCGGCGGTGCAAATTCCAGCTTCCAGCCAAGGGCGGGAGAATCTCTGCTGCTGCGCGGCCAGTGCCAAGTTTCCAAGTGACCCCGCGCCCCTCCACGCCCTTCTCCTCCCACTGCAAAAGGGAGAGAGAAGGCGGAAGGAAAGACCCCCGCTCCAAGAGAATAAAGAGTAGGGGAGGGGGGACGTTGAAGCAGAGGCCCGGGCTCTAAGAGTTCTGCATTCGTGGTGAGAAGGCGCCTGGGCGCCCACTTTCCGAGCCCCGGGTGCAAGCGTCCTCAGAGGAACCCAAAGGCCAAGTTCTCTCGGGTGGGGTGGGGGAGGGGTTTTCGCGAGGCGCAGCGCAGGCGCAGTGTGCGCCTCCATTGTGAAGCGTGGCAGAAGTGCCATTGCGATGGCAACAGCCGCCAAAGGGAAAAGGCTGAGCAGCCTGGGAGGGGTGGGCGGTGGCAACGGGAACCCGCTTCCCGGGCGCGGTGGCGGCGGCCATGGCTCGGCTAGCTGACTACTTCAGTGTGGTAGGCCGAGACCAGGAGAAGCCAGGTAGCGGTGTGGGGAAGGCGCCACCCCCGGGCTCCGCCTCCGCCCTCGACTCCGCCTCCGCCCCGGGGTCCGCCTCCGCCCCCACTAGGCTCCGCCTCCCTCCTCCCCGGGCTCCGCCTTCACTTACCAGGGTTCCGCCTCCCTCCGCTTCCGGGCCCCTCCCCGTCCCCACCCCGAGCTCCGCCTTTGTTCCCCGGGCTCCGCCCCCGCCAACGCTAGGATCCGCTATTGCTACCGCGGGCTCCCCCTCCCTCCTCCGCCGGGCTCCTCCCCTGTCCACGCCCCTGGCTCTGCCTCCGCCCCTTGGGCTCCGCTACTCCCCCGCCTCCGCCTCTGGGCTCCTCCTCCGCCCCCAGCAGCCATCCATTGGGCCAGGTGGTGCTGGGCCTGGCATCGAGGCTGGGAGGAGGGGAGGAGAGAACCATCTTGTTACATATTTTCAGTTATAATTTTCTTTTTCCTTTCTTTTCTTTTTTCTTTTTCTTCCTTTTTTTTTCTTTCTCTTTCCTTTTTCTGAGCCAAGGTCTTACTATGTAGTCCTAGATGTACTTGAATTATCTATATAGATGACACTGACACTCATAGAGACCCACTTGTTTCTGCTTTCCAAGTGCTGCAATTAAAGTTGTGCGCTTGTGTGTACACACACATAAAATGGGGAAATCTGAATAAGAATAGTGGCTTCTTATATGATACCAGCATCCTAACAGTGATACTGTACTGT